TGGTGGAGGTAAATGGAAAAATCTGGAATTTGTAAGAAACAACATTTAAAGTTCACAGGTTTGTGTTCCACTTCTCGGCTCTGGAAAAACAGAGTGGAAATGATCACAAAAGGTAAATACTCTGTTTGTTTGTTTGTTCATGTAATCATGTATCTGCCTTAATCATAATTTATCTTCAAAGTTTTGAAATACAAGCCGCCACAACGTAAATACACAAAAAACACCAACTTACAATGCACCTGTCATTCTCCCCCCTAATGAAACCGAGATTTAAAAAAGCGTTTTGTAAACCCAGTAAGTTCTTTACCAATTCCATAATCAGGTTAGAACGAAGAGAAAACCGCCAGAGGTTCCTACACCACCACGAAACAGTTCTCCAGAAACAACGTCCCAGGCCTCCTGTACTACCCACGGAAGAGACCTTCTGTGTCAGAGAGGAGGAAGTGAGCTCAAACAAAACACGTAAACAAAGCCATTTTACGTCTCAGCAAATTAAACATTACCCTGAAGATATCTGAATCAAAGAACCATAAAACTAAAACATTCCTATCTAGGCTTTAATATTGTACTTACCTCTGCAGCATCTAAGTAAGCCTGGCCATCCTTGCAGTGTTTGAAAACACGTGAAGCTATCAAGTGCAACAGCTTATTATTTATCATAGGGTCATCACAACACTGAATGCATTGATCCTGAGCTGTTTTGCCAAGTCCCTGCTCTGTAAAGGCTCACACCGGGCCACGTGCGTGTTCTCGCTGCCGAGAGTTTACATTTATTAACCTGCAATCACACGCTGAAATACTGCTAAAAAAAAAAAACAAACCCCAAAAAACCCAATTTGACGATTCATCAACACTTTCTCCCCAGGAAACACCTTGCCGCGTTTACAGGAACAAATTGTTCTGAAGAACAGTTGAGCACTTTTCTTTTCTGAACTCCTTTTGCCTCCTGTGGCAAAGGAAGGACTTTCATCGCTTTCACTTTGCCACATTTCGAGCAGAAGCGGGGCAGAGCTCCTCATTAAGAAAATAACTTGGGCCCTTGCCACCAAGGAGGCATCACCCCAGGTACCCTGCCACACATGCCAAGCAAACCAGTACCTTAGACGTGCTAAAACGCAAAGAGACAAGGATTTAAGCAAAGAGCTGTACTGAAGGCTGGCACTGATCCAGGATTCCTCCGTTCTCACAGCATTCCCAGCACAATAACCTACTGAACCTGAGAGCACCTTTGGGAGCGTAACTCAGAGAAGGAAAGAGTTTCTGAACAGCGCTTTCTAAACGAGAGAGAAGAGGCTGTACCTGAGTCCCACCTTCCCCTGCAGGGAAACCCTGTGAAAAACTAAAACCCAGGTGCTCGCAGGCCCCTTCCAGCCTCTCCCTGTCACCCCTTCTCCCTGCCCCATACCCCCCCCCCAAGTTGACAACACCCCCAATCCACAGCCATTAACCCACAGCCCCTTGACAACCCTCAGTGGCCACCCCACTGCCTCACGGCCCCACATTTGCCTTCCCCCCCCTTACCCCATGCACCCACCCTACTCTGGCAGCACCTTCACTGCCTTGTAACCCCCCCAAACCCTGCCA